ATTTGACAAAATATGACACTGATGTTTTTTTAATTTTTTTTTTTTACTGTTTATTTATTTTTGAGACAGAGAGAGACACAACATGAGCAGGGGAGGGGCAGAGAGTGAGGACACACAGAATCGGAAGCAGGCTCCAGGCTCCGAGCTGTCGGCACAGAGCCCGACGCGGGGCTCGAACCCACGAACCGTGAGATCATGACCCGAGCTGAAGTCGGACACTCAACCGACTGAGCCCCCCAGGCGCCCCCAGAACATCTATGTACAAACCATACAGCTGACATCACACTTCCTGGGAAGATACCTGCTCTCCCCATTCATTCAGCAGAGCCTTGAAAGTCCTAAACAATACAGCAAGGTAGGAATAAAAAGGATATGAAAGGCATACGATTGGAAAGGAAGACACCAGACTGCCTTTATTCATAGATCGCACGACTGGCTATGTAGAAAATCCAGAGCCAGACACCAAAACATGTCCCTAGAAGTAACAAATGAGGTCTGCAAGGTTGCAGGTTACAAGGTCAACACAAAATCTGCATATTCCTATATACTAACAACAAGTGGAAGCTGAAACCTAAAAATGCAGTAGCGTTAATAATTTCTCCAGAATAAAAGTGTAATACTTAGGGATACTCTAGCAAAGCACATCCAGGATCTGCACGCTGGGAACAAACCACCAGAGAAAGAAGTCAGAGAAAACATCAATCGTCAGAGAGATTTGCTGTGGTTCCCGGACTTTAAGGCTCAGCAAAGCGATAATGTCGGTTCTCCTCTAAATGATCTGTAAGTTTAATGCACTTCCCAACAAAATCCCATCAAGATTTTTTTGTGCAGATGAAGAAGCTTATTATAAAATTTATAAGGAAACATACAGGCCCTTCAATCATTTCGAAAAAGAAGAAGAAAGTGGGAGGAGCCAATCATCCCTGCAATGTTAGGGATTTACCAATTAGCTACGTTTCTCAAGACCCTGTGGTCTCGGTGGAGGGACAGACACACAGATCAACGAAACAAAACAGAGGATCATAAATAAACCAACACAAATATTCTCAACCCATACTTGACACGGGTACAAATGCAATTCAGCGAAGGAAGGGGGGGCTTCTTACACAACGGTGTTGCGGAAGTCGGACGTCCATGGGCCCAAAAAACTGAACGTGGATGTGCCCCTCACCCACACGCGAAAATTAACTCAAAATGATCACGGAGGTAAATGTACACCTACAAAGTCATAGACACTAGTGATAGAATTACCTTCAGGACCGAGGACCAGGGAAGGACTTCTTGGACTTGACCTTAAGAGCGTGATGCACGGAAGGGAAAGGTGGTTCATGGAACCCCACAAAATCAAAAAGGTTTGTTCCGTCGGGGACCCTATGCGGACGGAAGGGCAGCGGCAGAGGGGGAGAAGCGGCGCGCAGCCTGACAAAGGCCTTGCGTTCGGGACCCGTAAGGAACTCTCAAAGCTGAACATTCAGAAACAGCCCAGCTAGAAAACAGGGAAAAGATGTGAACAGACACTTCCCGGAAGAGGACGCACGATGGCCACCAAGCACGCGAGAAGACGTTCCGCATCGCTAGCCGTCGGAAAAAGGTAAATTAAAGCCCAAGGAGGCGCCGCCGCGCACTTGCCGGAGGGGCGGAGTGAGACGCGGCCGTGACCCTCGCGCTGGAGAAGACGCAGAAGCTGGTCACGCGGTCGCCGCCGGGGGGACGGGAAGCGGCGCGGCGGCTCTGCTGGAGAGTCGGCAGGTGCCTTTGGCGCTAAAAATGGGCTGAGATCCAACCCGGCCCTTGGTCTGCGGAGAAGTGAAAACAGGTTCACAGAGAGACTTGTGCTTGTGCTTGACTGTTTACCGCACCCTCGTGCCTCGCACGCAGCCAGCCGCTGGTCTCAGCCCCCCCCCCCCCGCTTGTCCTTCGGCGCTGGGGCACCCCTGCTACAGAGCACTGGTCGGCAATAAAAACAGACTGTGGGTGGACCGCAGGGGAATCAGGCTGAACGGGAAAAGCCGATCTCAAAAGATCACGCACGGTGTGATTCCGTTTGTATAACATCCTTGAAGGCACAGTTACAGAGATGGAACAGATCAGCCCTTGCCAGAGGCCAGGGCATGGAGTGTGCCCCCTGTGGTGACGGAAACATTCCACATCCTAGAAGGTGGCCGTCCACGAAGCCACACAGGCAATAAAACTACAGAGGTACACGTGTGTGTGCGCACGCGCACACACACACACACACACACACACACACACACACACACAGATGAGTGCACGTAGAATTGGTGGGAACCCAGATACCTTCTGTGGATTGCACTGAAGTCAATGCCCTGCTATTCACGCTGAACTCGTCACACTAGATGGTGTCATCAGGGAAGCCTGAGCGAAGGATGCAGAGAGCCTCCCTCTATGTCTCCCTGCGACCTCCTGTAAATCTATAATTATTTCAAAAAGAAAGTTCTAGGGGCGCCTGGGTGGCTGAGTCAGTTAAGCGTCCAACTTTGGCTCGGGTCATGATCTCGCGGCTCATGAGTTCGAGCCCCGCGTCGGGCTCTGTGCTGACAGCTCGGAGCCCAGAGCCTGTTTCGGATTCTGTGTCTCCCTCTCTCTCTGTGCCTCCCCTGTTCATACTCTGTCTCTATTTGTCTCAAAAATAAATAAAAACACTAAAAACAATTTTTTAAAAAAGGGGTGCTTGGGTGCCTCAGTCGGTTGAGCATCCGACTTTGGCTCAGGTCATGATCTCATGATCCATGAGTTCAAGCCCCGTGTCAGGCTCTGTGCTGACTGCTCAGAGCCTGGAGGCTGCTTCGGATTCTGCGTCTCCCTCTCTCTCTGCCCCTCCCCTACTTGTGCTGTGTCTCTCTCTGTCTCTCAAAAATAAATAAACATTAAAAAAAAACTTTTTAAAGAAAGTTCTAAAAATTGTGTTCTAGGTGCCAGCAACAAAGGAATAGAGATTAATTTTTTTTAATTAAAAAAGTAAAAATTTTTAAAGTTACCATTTGTGTTAGTTTTTTTTTAACGTTTATTTATTTTTGAGACAGAGAGAGACAGAGCATGAATGGGGGAAGGGCAGAGAGAGAGGGAGACACAGAATCGGAAGCAGGCTCCGGGCTCCGAGCCATCAGCCTAGAGCCCGACCCGGGGCTCAAACTCACTGACCTTGAGATAATGGCCTGAGCTGAAGTCAGACACTTAACCGACTGAGCCACCCAGGTGCCCCCATTTGTGTTAGTTTTAAAAACCCAAAACTAAAATATGCCCAGAAAGATGTGAAAGATGAATACATTGAAAATGACAAACAGTATTGAGAAGTTGTAAGTGAACAGAGGGGTGTGCCTTGCTCTTGGATTAAGAGTCTCAAAATTCTAAAGATGACAATTCTCTCCAGATCGATCTATATAGATTCAGTATAATCCCAATAAAAATCCAACAAATTTTTCTTTTGTTGAAATTGACAAGCTGATTCTCAAATATGTATCCCCCACCACCCATTTGGGAAGGGCTAAAGATAACCAAGGCAATCTTGAAAAACAAGAACAGAGATGCTGGGCTTACTACCAGACGTCAAGATTGTAAAAAGCCATAGTAACTACAACTGCATGGCCAGTGCAGGAATAGACACATAGACAAGTGGAACAGAATTAGGAGTCCAAAAAGAGAGGAGGATGGACAGACAGGGAGATGGATGGCTGGGTGAATGGATGAGTGGATAGATAGGTGATAGATAGATAGATAGATAGATAGATAGATGATTGACAGATAGATGATACATAGATGATAGATGATAGATAGATGATAGATACATAGATAGATGAAAGATATATAATAGATATATATAGATAGATAGATGATAGATAGATAGATAATTTGGTTTATGGAAAGGGTGACAGTACAGGGGGGAAGACATGGTCTTCTCAATAAATGGCAAGTGCCGGGCACCTGGGTGGCTCAGGCGGTTGAGCGTCCAACTTCGGCCCAGGTCATGATCTCACGGTTTGTGATTTAAGCCCCGCGTCAGGCTCTGAGTGCTGACAACTCAGAGCCCGGAGCCTGCTTCGGATTCTGTGTCTCCCTCTCTCTGCCCCTAACCCACTCACGTTCTGTCTCTGTCTCTCTCAAAAATAAATAAACATTAAAAAAAAAATGTTTTTAATGGCAGGTGCTGAGTCAATTTGATATCCAGATAGAAAAGCAGGAACTTTAGCCGGTATCACATACCGTAAATTAAAATCCACTTCAGGTGGGTTGTAAATCTAAACATGAAAATTTAAACAATAAAGCTCCTAGAATTAAATAGGAGAATATCTTTATGGCTTGGAACGGGCAAGCATTTCTTAAGTGGGAAGTAACTTGACTGTAAAGGGAGCAAACGGACAAACTGGACGTGAAAATAAAGCAGGTCCTCCTTATTGGGAAGACACCGTAAGAGAAGGAAAAGGCAAACCCAGAAGCCCAGAAACTAGGACATTTTTGCAATAAATGCATCGACGGAGGCACGTGCCCAGAACGTGGAAGAATGCCCGCACGTTGAAAAGAAGCAGCGAGTAGATACGCGACTAGGGGAAGACGTGGTGAGGGGCACCTGGGCAGGTGCACCTCCAGGACAGCCGACCGCTAACCTCACGGGGACACTGCGTTTGTCACTGGGGAACTACAGACTGAAGTACAGTGAGATCCCAGCATGACCCCAGGAGAGTGAATGTATATTAATGAGAAGAAATGACCCAGAATGCTCGCAGGGGCACTGCCCGTAAGAGACAGCATCTACAGCACAGCCCACGCAGTCAATGCATAGGTGTGTTGTGATACGTTTATGCAAGGCGATATTACAGGCGATCCGCACGAGCCACTGCTACATGCAAAAACACAAAGGATTCACCCAAGCATCCTAGCGAATGAAAGGAACTTAGCAGCATCTTCGTGACTGCGTTCATAAAAAGCTCAAAAATACCAAACCGCCTGCTGTCCTTTCGTGAAAACGAAAGCAGATGAAGCTTTATGATTTGTGCACGGTTCTGCAGTTTGCTAAATTTCACTTGCAAATTGACTGTCGAAAGCATAAAGTGCGACATGAGATAGCATTTTGTTATCACTATGCATGAGACTTTAGGACATCTGATTGTCCTACTGTGAAAATCGACCTAGCCCAAGACCTTTCTCAAGGCAGCCTTAAATTCTTTGTTCCTCAGGCAGTAGATCAAGGGGTTGATTATTGGGGTGAGGACCGTGTACACAGCAGAGACGAGCTTCTTGGAGCTCCGGGAGTCAATGGCCTGGGGCCGGACGTACATGAAAAGCAAGGCCGTATAGAAGATGGTGACCACGGTGAGGTGGGACGCACAGGTGGAGAAGGCCCTCCAGCGGCCAGTGGCCGAGGGGATGCGCAGGACAGCCAGGGCGATGTGCCCGTACGACAGCACGGTGGCCACGAGCGGCAGCACCAGGATGACGAAGGCCAGGACGAAGTCCGCCAGCTCTGCGGTCGAGAAGTCCGTGCAGGCCAGTTTGAGGACGGGGGAGATGTCACAGAAGAAGTGGTTCAGGACGTTGGAGCCACAGAACGTGGCGCTGGAGATAAAGTACACCTTGATCACGGAGACGGAGAAGCCGCACGCGAAGGAGAAGGCCACCAGCCGGACGCAGAGCCCCGTGGTCATGATGGCGTGGTAGCGCAGGGGGTGGCAGATGGCCACGTGGTGGTCGTAGGCCATGGAGGCCAGGAGCAAGCACGCACTCGGTGCACACCAAGGAGCTGAAGAAACAGAGCTGGATCACGCATCCGACAAAGGAGATGCGCTTCCGCTGCAGGAGGAGACCGTCCGGCATCTTGGGGACGATGGCAGACACGTAGCAGATCTCCAGGGCGGACAGGGCGCCCAGGAAGTAGTACGTGGGCCTGCGCAGGGAGGAGCTGCTCCGGACGGCGAGCAGGACGGCCAGGTTCTCCGCCAGGACGAAGAGGTAGGTGAGCAGGAAGAGGAGGAACAGCACAGGCTGCAGCCCAGGGGCCGTGGGGAAGCCCAGCAGGACGAATGCGCTGACCGTGCTGCCGTTCTGTCCCCTCGTTCCCGTGTGCCGGGAGCCCAGGCCTGCAAAACACCATCGTTCCAGGGTGAGGGGCCTCGGGGCCACTCGGGAGAAGGCAGAGCTCCCCCCGCAGGAGAGGTTCAGCCTCAAGAGCGGATGCCGCGCTCCACAAGCAGCTGGGGGAACAGAAACAGTCCCCACGTGAGGCCTTTCCCATCACGAGGTTCCCGGTGTCCTTGGGGCCAGTCATGCTAAGGAGGGGGCCCTGCAGTGCCCGCCCACGTCGTCCCCCCTGTCCCACGGGGTGTCGTTTCCCTACAACCTGGAGTTCTCCGAAGACTCTAATCCCAGTAAGGAGATCCACAGTTCTCTGCAGCCAGGGTCGCGCCACGGTCACCTGGCCCGCTGTTCGTCATCTCGCACCTTCTCTCTAAATCAGTAGGTACCGAACCTTCCGCCTGGTATCAGAGTTGATTTTATAAGAGGAAGGGACACCAGCGGGGCTCATGGGATGGTGGGATATGGTGCCCCAGGTTAGCCAGACCCCAGGCCCAGGCACACCCACAGGGCTGGGGGTCTTAGGGAGCAGCAGGCATCTCCCAGGCTGAGAGGGAGAGCGGTCACATGTCTATCTCTGTGCCATCTCGAAACCCCTAAAAGTATGACAAAGCAGTAAAAAGATAAAAACCCGTAACATCGAGACAGCAAAAGAGACCAGGAGGGGAACATCGGCAAGGGAAAGATTTCCACCCAACTCTGGAAGGAAGAAAGCAGATGGCAGAAAGTGGCCGGGGCAGCAAGGGTAGAGGAATCTAGAATCTTCTCAAGGGCCTGTATCTTCCCAGCACCTGACAGGTGTGACGGGAGGAGGTGGAGGCGGTGAAAACAGGGCTCCTACGTGCGGTCTGCTTCCAGAAAAGTCTAGTGGCTGCCCTTGCGCGGCCCTCCCCATCCCCCGTGTGGGTCCCCAGAGCCGGCCTTGATGGGACAAAGGACCACGTCACCCTCATCACCCTCATCACGAACCAAGTATTGTAACATGAAACACGTCCCACCATCGTCACCAGGGCCCTAGGAAAACAAGGCTGGCATCTCCAGGTTCAGATGAAGTCAGACCCAAATCGAAATGCTCACGGGCTTACCCGACACCGAGGCAGAACCAGGACGCAAGCCCCGGTCCTCCGCCCCCCACGGCTGCAGCCCCTCCCCCCAGAGAGCAGCAAGAGAGAAAGCAAAGCCATCTGGTCCTGGGTCAGAAGTCCGGAGTTGTCAAGAACGAAGATGGAGTTGCCTTCTGACACGAGACCCTAATAGTTTATATGAACCGAGATCACAAAATAAAAATATTTTTCAGAAGGAAGAGGCAGACGATGCCCTTTAAGGAAGAAATGCTGGCTACATAAGCTTTGTCACATCTGTGCTGGAGCACCGTGTGGTCACTGACAAGAAGGGACACGTCTCTCCGTAGGTATGGAGTGATTCCGAGATACACAGTTACATTTTCTAGATATTCTTAGCAGCGCGTACAATGCGCCTCCCCTGGTGTAAGTAAGGGCACATATGTGAGCGGAGCATGTGTGACGGTCACACGGGGGACTGGTGTGCCCGCTGCCCCAGGAGGGGGGAAGCAGGTGGCTGGGACACAGAGGTGGAGGGACACAGCGTAGACTTTTGCTGCTTTTTTCATTTTGTTTCCTGTAAATGTATTATTTATTCAAAACAGTGATTCAAAAATAGGTATATTTTTGAATTCTCAAACTCTCCTTTAAAAAGAAAGTGTTACGGGCTGGATTAAACATTCAGCAAGTAGGTATTTCCCTAAGCCACAGTTCTCCATCCATACAGAAAACCCACAGACTGAATGGGTCACTGGGAGCAAAACGTATCAGACAAGGTGTCGTGTGCCTCTAACGTGGCAAAACCCTCAAATCCGGGATCGCACAGCATCGTGGCGAAAACAAGGAGGTTGAGTGAAAAACCACAGAATCACAACAAAAGCATCGGTCCTCCCAAAATAATAGAGTAATCAAAACACAGAAAAGCAACCCCGGACACGTCATGGAAATACAGCTGACCCTTGCACAACATGGGATGAGGGGTGCTGACGCCTGTGCAGTCGAAAATCCACATTAGAACTTCTGACACCCCAAAAACCTAACTATGATGGACCACTGGTGACTGGGAGCCTTACCAATAACACAAACAGTTGATGAACACGTATTTTGTATGTTGTATGTATTACATACCGTATTCTTACGATAGAGTCAGCTAGAGAAAAGATGCTATTAAGAAAATCATTAGAGGGGCGCCTGGGTGGCCCAGTCGGTTGGGCGTCCGACTTCAGCCAGGTCACGATCTCGCGGTCCGTGAGTTCGAGCCCCGCATCAGGCTCTGGGCTGATCGCTCAGAGCCTGGAGCCTGTTTCTGATTCTGTGTCTCCCTCTCTCTCTGCCCCTCCCATTCATGCTCTGTCTCTCTCTGTCCCAAAAATAAATAAACGTTGAAGAAAATCATTAGGAAGAGAAGGTACATTTACAGAACTGTAGTGTATTTATGGGGGAAAAAAATCCACATATAAGTGGGCCCATGCGATTCAAACTTGTGTTGTTCAAAGGTCAACCTTACATTAATGGCATCTGTCAGGGCACGAATAAGTAGGTCCATTATTAAGGATCTAAATAACGAACACGAAGTTAACAGATCTTTAGAGAAAAATGCATAGGAAATACCAGGTCAGGGCCTGGCTTGCAGTGAGCACTTCATCAATGGTGGTAGTAACGTGCACAGGAGCCGAATTCATGAAATATAATAAAACAGTTCTCCCGTCCATATACTGGTTAAACCCAAATATAAACCATAATGGAGCCCAGGGGGACACCGTGTAAAGAGAGCCCCCAGCCTCGCGCACACGTTCCTGATGTCTGGGGTGCCCCCGGCCCGCCCTCAGCTCCGGCTGCTCCTGCTGTGGGGCCCATCACCCCACACCCCTCCGCCCCCCGCATGGAGGCTCTACTCCCTCTGTTTGCCTCTGCCTGCCATCCTGGTCTCTGACGACCTCACTTCCCCAGGCAGGAGCTGCCCCCTCGCTCACCAGTGGCCCGGCCACAAGCACGGTTGTGGGACCTGAAGGGGGGGTCCCCGAACCTTAGGGGAGTGGACGGAGACGTGAAGCCCGGGACGGATAGGAGTGGCAGCCCATGCAGCTCGGCCAAAAGTGCCGAGGGAGAGGTGGGGACCCCCCCGACAGCTGCTCCCCTCGCCTCTCCTCCTGGTCCTCGAATCCCAGAGACTTTTCTTCGAAAATGCAGAAATAGAGAAACCCTCTGATGTAGAAGTTGGGGAGGACAGAAGGCCACGCGCCTGACGTCTGGAGTATGCCACCAGACCCCTGCATGTGGAAGAGGAGAAAGCACTGATGAAGTCGACTTACCTGCAGAGCGTGTGGGAGCGATACAGCCCAGAGGACACGGCGACGACGGGAATGTGACCCCGCTTCTCTGACCAGGAGGGCCGGACAGAGCGAGCAGTATGGCTCGTGGGGGACTCGTTGCCACTGCAAACGAGCAGGACTCACACGAGTGTGGCGGCTGGCTGGGGGCGCGGGAGTTTGTAACAGGGCGGGGTGCCAGCAACCCCAGGTTGCAGGAGAGACCGGTTTTGGAAACTCAAGGAAAAAGAATCCTAAAGGCATCTAGGCAGAATAAAATAACTTTTATAAAATGGAAGATCGGCGGGGTTAGCTTTACTTTTCCCCAGGTCACTGGAGCCCAGAAAACAATGGAAAAACCCGAACACATGCCTGGGACAGCCGGTCGACCCGGCAGAGGGACAGAGGGTGCGGGCGAGAATGCTGTGTCCAGACCATCGCACAAGGCGTTCTCCACACAAGCCAGGTCTGAACGTGGGGCTGACCCACCCCTCCTCCACATGCAGCTCACATGTCACAGCTGTCCACCTGCGAGTGGCGACCCCTGCCACAGCTCTCCACACACAGAGACGGGCGGGGAAGGAGAGCCAACACACACACACACAGCACGGCACTTCCCCTGGCAGCCGCGGTCAACACAGTTACAGAACCAAATGCGAATGTCAGTCCTTGTGGACCGAAAAGGTATATAAAGCAGAATAATAGCCACGGTTCCTTGGAAAAAAGAGACAGAAACTGGGTTGACGCACATCAGGGAAAACCCAAGAGAGGCAATGATTATAATGGGGAAAAACTGTATTATTTGCCTTGTTTTTCAGAGCAGGACACCAAATGAGTGTGTCTCATTATTTATGTTTATTTATTTTTGAGAGAGAGAGAGAGAGAGAGAGAGACAGAGCATGAGTGGGGGAGGGGCAGAGAGAGAGGGAGACCCAGAGTCCAGAGCAGGCTCCAGGCCCCGAGCTGCCAGCACAGAGCCCGACGCAGGGCTCAAACCCATAAGCTGTGAGATCATGACCTGAGCCGAAGTCGGACGATCTACCGACTGAGCCACCCAGGCACCCCGGGTGTGCCTCATTCTTGGAGTTTATAATGAGAAGTAAAGGAAACACCAAGAGAGCGCACAAATAAAATGTGACAGTGACAGGAAAAGAAATGCATCAGTCGTGACAATAAACGTAAACGTCATAAAATTTGGCAAAAGGAGAGGACTCTCCGTGTATGAGAAAGGAATCAGCGTGTGTACTCTGCAGAATGAAACACCCAGGAAGGTTGAAGTTACAGGCGTAGCTCAGGTATGTCAAACAAACAAGGAGGAGACAGGATTTCAGAATTAATACCTGGTCAGGTAACATTCGGGACCTCGAATGGTCGGTCCTATTTACGGCCCTTGTAGCGCACAGTATGACATCAACACAGAGTCAGCAGTGAGGTAGCCAGAAGGAGGGAGGCAGCAGGCCTCAGCACGCACCGCCGACACCTCGACAGAACCCGCACAGCAAGACGGCAAGAGGGAGTGAGGATTGAACGTCAGAATAATGTGACCTACAGGCTGATTTGAGAGCTATTGGTTCAGTGCCTTGGAAAAGGGGAACTGCCCACAGAGAATGTGGAAAAAATAATCCGAAATAACATGAAAAATTCACGATATCTCCAAAGCAGACATCATGGCTTCCCCAATTTCTTAAAAGTGAAGGGACAAAAATTGAGATTAGTTAACGTCAGACTAAATGCGACCCCAAGCATGTGGAAGAGAAGGGAGCACCCCGCTAGGGGACTCCTAAGGCAGCGAGGAGATCAGAGCCGCAGTCACAGCCCGTGCAGAAAAGAATGCCGACTACACCGCGCGTGTCCAACGCGGCCAGGCTCTGCGCGTGGGCGACTTTGTGCTTCCAAGTGCTTTCACTTTGTAGTCGGAAAGAAGGGAAAAAATTAATATGTGGTCACCTGAAAAAGTCAGAAAACGCATTAAGCCAATCTGAGGACAAGCAGAGGAAAGAAAAGGGAACAGCAGCTATTTTAATCAGGAAGAAGCATAGAACTGAGCCATAGAGGCAAGAACTGGCCCGGAGGCAGCCTCCGGGTGGCGGACAGGGACAGACAAACCCCAGCTAGTCTAATAAACGGGAAATACAGGCACCGTTTTAATGATGAGAGAAAGGACACCCCCGAAGACAGAGATTCCACAAGGCTGATCAGCCGTGTCTCTGAAGTCCCTGCCGTGTGACCACCGTGTGGTGGGGGGGGGGCCCCCCCCCCCCCGGTGCCCCGGCGCGGAACGCGGCCGGGGAACAGTAAAGGTCCGACTCCGGAGCAGAGACGCGACCTTCCGAGAGACCTGAAACACAGAACTCACCGTCATCGCAATAGAACTTTGGGAGTTGCCGGAGAGGTTTCGAAGATGCTCCTTCCCTGCCCGAATCTCCAGTTCTGTGGGGGGCTGGGCTTTGCCGTGTTCTGTAAACCATCACGGGCAGGGGAAGCACTTCCCAACCCGTCGTATGGAGTCGAAGCTTCCTGATACCACGAAAACCCGGCCAGCACTGCACAAAAGGAAAGCTGATGTCCACGATCTAAATTTTGTGTTTAGTACAGTTACAAAATTCCAACGAACCGCCAGCAAATGGAGCCCAAGAATATATTAAAAAGGCACATGCCACACCCTGATCGTGATTTGTTTCCGGGCTGCAAGGGGGGATCACGGGCAGCAAATCTATTCCAGTGATCACAGCCACAGCCCAGCCGATGCTGAAAAGCTTTGATGGAAACCTATTCCATTGTTTATACATTCGTCACCCCGGAGAAGTGATTTGACTTAATGTGATTAGTAATCCCCGTCTCAGCCAACAGCCTACCCCATCCCGGCAGCCACAGACGAGAGTCACGGAGGCAGCCGGGTCCTCGTGAAAGCCGCCACAGGGTAAACAACATGTCACCCCCCGCTCCGCAAAGGGGGTAAAGAAACAGACCAAACTGTCACTGTCGCACGTAAGGTGGCTAGAAAACCCAGGACAAATAGATTTCAAAATTTCACTCAATTATCACTGAAATCTCACCAAATCTTACTTTTCTTAAAACAGGACAAAACGATTCTTAAAATCGTCTGAAAATACGAACAGATGGGAAGAGCCGTGTAGGAAAATCGGACCGTAAAAGCACAGAATTCTGGAAGATGTGGGGCAACGTGGCCGTGCACTGCTGTGTGCCCACAATGGGCAGGACCCTCTGGCCCACGCGGGAGCCCCTGCCTCCCTCCGTGGGCGGCACCTGTCGGCTCCCCGGCTACTGATGCAGGGGTGTGGCATTGATGGTAAGGATACCGGATCCTGCTCCCGGCACTCCCCAGGCGCTCACCTCTAACCCTCCTCTTGGGCCCCTTCTCTCCTTTCTGTTGGCTCTGCTGGGACTTTGTGTCTTACAGGAAAAAAGAAGCCTCCTCTTTTACATAAATGCTCACCTCCTGCCACGGCCTGGTTCCTGCCTCCCCCCCACCCCCGCCACCGACCTGCCGCCCCGATTCTGTCCCCACGCACCTCGGTCTGCCTGTCCTGCAGATGCCAGGGACCCACCTGTCGCTAGTTTCCGTGTTTCACTCCCTGCACCTTCGTCCGCACTCGGCAGTGTGGCCCCAGCCTTGTGTTCTCACTGTCCACGCTCAGAGCAAACACCCAGCCCGCATCTTCAAGGGTCACTGGCGCCCCTCAGTCCTCCCTTGTCTGTCTGCAGACTCCACCCGGCGTCCGGCCATCCGCAGGCCGCCTGCACTGGCCACGGCGTTGGCATCCGTCTTGGGTTCTCTGTCCCAGGAAATGGCAGCACGGTCTACCCCGCTGTCCAGGCCAGAAAATGAGCTTCTGCTTCCCCCTTCCCTGCCGTCAGCTAAGCGGGCACGAGTCCCGCCCCCTGCGCGTGTTCCCAGAACCCGTTCTCTCGTCTCCACACTGCGGGCTTCCTCCACTCCCTGCCCCCGTCCAGGCTCCATGTCCCCAACCTGAATTACTGCCACTGCCTCCAACTTCACGCGGTCTTTCCCGCCGCTGACCGGTCCGTTGTCCGCATGGCAGAGAAGGGCACGTGGAGCGCCGTCCCATCCACGCCACATCCATCCGGCGTCCTTCCCATCAATGCCACACCCTCAGGCACGCCCCGGGGAGTCACTGCCCGGCCCCCAGAGCAGCTCGCTGACCAAGTGCCCTGCTGTCCCGTCCCCGGGAAGGACCTGGTCCAGACGCCACCTCCTCCTAGGGAGCCCACCTCGTCCCTCGGGCCCCCGGCACTGCCGCTAGGTGCCCCAGAAGTGGGAAATTCCAGGGTGGCTTCCAGGCATCTGCCTTCCTTAGGCTTTGGGTGTAGACGGAAAAGCACATTCTCGGAAAGAGAGGAAGGTGGGGAGTGTGGTTTCGGATGTGCCGGATTTGAGGCATCTGTGGACCGGCCTGTGCGGGCCTCCCGAGGAGCCTGTGGTGCCCGGACTCAGGGAGAGGTGCAGGGCGTGAGGAAGAGGCTCGCCCTTTATTCATCCGTCCTGTGTCCCGACCGCCTACTATGTGGTCATCACCGCTTCAAGGCAGCCCGGATAAATCGGGAGAGAAAGCAGTCTAAACCTTCTGCCTTTGCGAAGGCAGACAAGACGGACGATGATGCTGACCATCGAGGTAACTCCTGAGCAGGCAGGGGGATGGGGGCAGAGGGGTCGGGGTGGGCACGGCCGGGGTGAGAAGGCGACTCTGGGGCACAGTCTGGAAGGAGGCGGGTGCCAGCCGCGTGGCTGTCGTGGGGTCACAGTGGGCGTGTCTGGAGCGCCTGGGGGGCAGCACGGGACTGAACAGAGCAAGAATCTAAACACCAGCCCTTCAACAAGGGTCCTCTGGAAGGTGATTCTGGAAGGTGATCTGGGGCAGGTCAGGGAGGGCGTCAGGGCCGCGTGCTCGGGCCCCCAGCCACGAGCCACTCGGGGAAGAGTCCGCAGGGCAGAGGGAGCAGACAGAGGTCTGGGGGCTTCGAGTCTGCGAACGTGCCCCCTCCCTCTCCACGCCCCTCCCCGAATCCCAGACCTGCGGAGTCACCCCCTGACCTGATGAGTGGGGTTGGGGGCTCTGTCCAACTGCTAGTTTAGGAGTTTGTCCCGGATTCGAGCTTGGCACGGGTGTTCAGCCCTCATTACCAGTTAGGGCTGGACCCGCCCGAGGCCACCGCTCAGGTGCACTGGTCACAGCACGCCTGGGGCAGCGCCAGGGAAACGGTCCCGCGTCACTTCCCCTGACCCTTAGCCCACCTGGCCGGGCAGAGCGTTTAAGAGACGCGACTCTCGGTGTTTCTTTCGCACTTCTCGCAGCTCCCAAGTTTCCCAATTTTATTTTTTTTTTAATTTTTTTTTTCAACGTTTATTTATTTTTGGGACAGAGAGAGACAGAGCATGAACGGGGGAGGGGCAGAGAGAGAGGGAGACACAGAATCGGAAACAGGCTCCAGGCTCCGAGCCATCAGCCCAGAGCCTGACCCGGGGCTCCAACTCCCAGACCGCGAGATCGTGACCTGGCTGAAGTCGGTCGCTTAACCGACTGCGCCACCCAGGCGCCCCTCAAGTTTCCCAATTTTAAAGCGAACATGTGCACTTCTGGCCTCGTCAAAGACGGGGTAAGCGGAGGTCTGATGACTGAGAGGCGGACGTGGGGGCAGTGCAGGGGAGACTGAGCAGGGGAGGCGAGGGGCAGGTGGGCAGGGCAGTCCTCCCCTGAAGCTGGGGCCCATCAGCACCCCGACTGGGGGCAAAGGCAGGGGGGGAGGCGGGGCTCTGAAGGAGCCCCAGATGCCACCCTGCCTCTCCCACCGGCCAGGTCCCCCGGCTCTGGCTTTACTGGGACCTGGCTTTGTTGACAGCCACAGAAAAGGTGGCCCCTTCTGAAATGTTCGCGTTCAGCAGACCACGGGCTCCTTACAAGGACCAAGGGGACAGAGGGGGACAGGCAGGGCAGGCTGAGGCGCCGGAGGGCAGAGCGCTGGCATCACCTGTGTGGCGTCCACTTGGGGCTGCTGACCAGGCAGGCCTGGGGCGTGTCTCCGATCCTGGAGCGGGCAGGCGGGCACCACCGCGGGAGGGGCAGGAAAGCAGCCGGCGGACACAGCAGAACGTGGCCCTCAGTGGCGGATTTCTGAGCTCAGAGGGAGATGGGGGCACTGGAGACACAGGGTGGGTGTGAGGCGGGCGTGGGCACACCCTGGCGCTGCGGGACGAAGTCCCCACACCGCCCACTCAGGGGCCACGGGCCAGTGCCGGTGAGGGCCTCGGCCTCCCTCCAGCCCCCGCCCTTGAGGGACCAGGTCCAGAGGCCACCCAGACGGCCAGCTCGCTGACAGGAAGGGTGTCGGGGGGACCTACTGGGGCAGCTGCAGGTGTCACTGGCCACCCTGCTCCCTGACACCCTGAGTGGGCAGCCCCTGGCAACACCTGGCCAGCCCCCGAGTGACTGCTGGTATAAAGGAGGTGCCAGGGCGAAGGGGCTGTTGGCTGCCTTCCCCCGATGCACAGATGTGGGGACCCCAGGGTCCAATTACTGTGCCACGGAGACGTGACTGCCCCACACTGCCAATTAGCACAGAACCTCATGTCCGCGGGCCCCTGGGCCCAGATGACGGCCTCTGGCTGAGGGGCAGAGCCTGTCCAAACATCCCCCACGTGCTGTCCAGGGTCCAGGCCTCTGGACCAAACATCCTCCCCTGTCCACTCAGTCTCTGGCCACACAGCACTGTCCCCACCAGGGCCTCCGGCACCCCTCCCTTGAGGGATGGGGGGGGGTTCAGGTCCCACTTGGGGACAGAGGACTCTTCTGGATGCAGTGACCATGGCCCGGTCCAGGGAGAGAGACTCTGGGAGACACTGCCTCACCTTATTATTCACAAGGGGACAGAGAACTTCAAGCGCTGGCCTAAGACAAGAACTTTTCCCGCAAATATAACCAACCGAACAGCACTGACCAGTCTAAGCCAAAAGAGGTCTGTCTTGTAAACCTTTCCCAAGGCAGCGGAAGACACGGGAGCCATCGAGGGGGCCTGGGGTCCTAAGAGTCAGGGAGCTCAGGCACAGGGGAGGAAGCAGTGGCAGCGTGTGTCTTCTTATAAACAAATATTCCAGCTCACCCACATTTCCCCGCCTCTCAGGAGAGCAGCCAATAGAAAGGGCAAAGGATGGGGTGCCCGGGGGGGCTCAGGGGTTGAGCACCGGACTCCAGCTCAGGTCATGATCTCGAAGTTTGTGGGTTCAAGCCCCACGTTGGCCTCTGTGCGGACAGCACGGAGCCTGCTTGGGATCCTCTCCCTCTGTCTCTGCCCCCCCCACCGCTTTCTCTCTAAATATTAAATAAA